GATCTCGAGAAATGCGATTTCTCTTTGGACGTCGGGAGAACCCGTAGCGCGGGAAACCGCGGAGAATCGAAGAAGACCACGTCACTTCAGGCGAGATGACTCTTTTTCTCCCGTGCTAAATTAATGGCGATAATTAGCGAGACCGCGACTCGTGGTGGTCCTTTAAGTCCTTTTTTTCTCCCCGGTATTTTCCCTGCGACGCGGTTTTCTTTCATTAGCGCGAGATCCGATCGCGACAACTCTTCCGAGAGAGACGTAGGGAGAGCGCAGCGCGGCTTTCGACCTGCGCCGTGTATCCTCAAGCCGGGGTTACTTGGAGTCTTCGCCATTAGTACGCAAGTAAAGGCTATTTTCAACGACGAACTCGTAACCCGATACACGAGCGGCGGGGGCTGAGGCGCCTCCGCTAAGGAAAAGCTCCTCCTCCTCTTCCCCTCGTCCCGACGGACGAAGGAAACGACGCTCTCTTTAATTATTCTCCGCGATGTGCCGCATGCTAAAATCATTAAATTGCTCCGGCGATAGATACGAGGGCATATCGAGTGTCGAGTGGCTGCTTGACGAAAATTTGTAGTCAATTTTCCTTTAGAATAAATTCGATCGGACGTCATTCTTTTCGCAATTTATTCGCGGCCCCGTGCTAGACACGTTAATTAATAAGTTTCGGATTAAAATTCTGAGAAAGTCGAAACTAATGCGCGAGATAAGATTTTACTCAAAAGATGAGTTATTTAAAACATGAATTATTCAATAAGACCCCTCGGAAGATTTTGTAAGATTTCAATATTCATTTTGCCCGTCGGGTAAATTATATAAAATAATATTACTTAAAAATTATAAAAAAAAGTATAAAAGTAATAATATATGTTTGCCATTACAGTCACGTTCAATATAATTTACAGAGAATATAAATTATAGTTATATTAATATTATAGTAAATGTTCGCGTAAGATTTTTCATATTTTCCTATATTTTGAGAAGACATAAGATATCTCTTTGTCTTTTCAAATTTTAGATATTATTTTTTTTATTTAAAAAATGCGCTTCTCTCTTCGTTGTTCCTTTGATCAAATTTCTGGATTACAACTTGTGTATGTACTCATTCAAGTGAACTTTGCCCATTCCGAAAACAATCGGCAGGTGCAAGGTCAGAAAGAACGACGACGTTATCTCGTTCGTTCGTCCTTTTGCGTCTTCGACAATCAACTCCATCGTGACGCCGACGCCGACGCCGACGCCGACGACGAAGACGACGACGACAACGACGGCGATGACGACGCCCAAAAATAGGGACGGCATTAGCGCGTAGACTCGTTTCGCACGGCTCACCGGACCGCGTCGACTTTGCGGATGTGCAACGTCTTCGGCTGCCAGTAATTTTAGACGCCGGAGAGTCGGCCGTCGCGACCAAGTTCTTCGTCTCTCGGAAAGTCGCCCCGGTAAAAGTGACGCCCGTAAGTTTATATCGTATATACGCGCGAGATATGCGGAGGCCCGAGCGGGCTCCCTATAAACTTCTCCTCGGGAAAAATGGATTCCGAATTCACCGCTGGAATCTGCCGTTGACAGACGCGCAAGCAGCTAATGCCGCGAGAGAAGTTGGACGTTTAACTTGCGCCGAGGATCTACGTCTCCGCAGACTGTTATAGGCACGGAGCGAGATGTGTTGTAACGTGTCAACAAGCTAGGTGACAAGTTTTCTAATCGCTGCTATCCGCGAGATTGATATCCCTGCTGGCGGAAAATCTATATTACAAAATTTGCTCTTCGAAAATGTAAAATAATTATATTAAGAAGTCCAATAATTGTCAAGTGATGTAAGTCCGTCTTATTAGTATTCCTAGCAAAATACGAAAGCTTATTGGAAAGTTATTCTCGAGACCGGTGTTTTATGTAAACACACTGAACATGGGAATTTTCGTAGGCCCCAAAAGTGGGATGTCAAGATGATCTTAAAATACGAATTATTGTTGCATTTTTCTGCTGTCCTGTGCATCGCGAAAATTGGACTCGAGCCACTCGGGAGTCGAGAATTCGCAACGCGTCGCTCAGCGCGCGATGCTGTTTGTCGGGATGTATTTCGGTATCGCATCATCAACAGCATTCTTGGCCGAATTGCAACGATGTATACGAAGCGTGATAACACGGACGGAACGATATATCACAAATAGCGTGACCAAGTTTGCGCTGATCCCGGTAGCTTAAATCTCATTCATGAGAGTTAAGTCTGATTTCCGCGCGGACGTCCCGCGCGTCTCATTGGCAAAGCTCGAGGAGGGGGTTTGCGCTACAACGTACGTGCGCTACACGTTATAGGTACATGGTGATTGTATGATGCGAGAGGCAAAAGTGATTACAAGATAGTCGCGTGGTCGATCGGTGACATAAACGACGACGACGTAAAGCGTAAAGTATAAAATTGAAATTAATTGCTGCGCCGCCGCGCGCGGCGATACTAAAATCGCAGAAGCGCTGGCCGCACGCCAGCGGCCATTATCGTCGCGCATATCTTTCTATAAATAATACCGCGAGACGTACGATCCTGTAATTCAGCCCCCCTCCCTTCCCCTTCCCCCTCCGCCCCCCCGGTGTGCATTTACGATACTGTATTTATCATCGTTGTTAACGGCGCCCGCGACCGAATCGCCGTTAGTCCGGCGAGAGTACATCGTCATTGACGTTGATCGTTGCCGATAACGATCGTGTTAACGATCGACGGCGCGACACCTCGAGAATTAACGCCGACAGCGATCCAACTTTGTTTTCGCGCGCGGAGGAGGCTCTCACCGAAATTCAGACATCTGCCTGCTCGCCAGTGGCAGCTGCCAAATGTTCCACCCCCGAAATATCACGGCATACCGTTACGTCGGATTTACAGTACGATCTCGATGGTAGATGAGTGCAATCGGTGACAAATCGAAGAGTTAACATCATCACGGCTGCTGACGTAATGGTATACCGTTCTCCAAAAAGTCGCTTTTTGACGAAGAAATTCTGGCTGTCAAGCACGGATAGCGCTACTGAAGCTTGCAAAACATTTCAATCGTGAAAGCATTTGTAAAATACGAAAAGAAGATGAGAAGTCTCTTACAAAGCATTTGTAAAATACAAAAGAAAGATGAGAAGTACGTTTCTTAAATAAGTAAGACAGTATTTTCAAAATGTGATCTTCTTTGAGATTTTCATTTCTGGTTACAACTTTCCTTGTGTCTTCGATTACGTGAGAGTAAAAGTAAAAGTATTGAGTTACGTGCGGTGTTTCATCAAAGAGAAATTGATAAAACTAATCGCTTCCTTTGCAGAAATTTTTAATTTTTAATTAGTTATAAAACGAAACTCCGATAAGCAGGACTCTTTTATAAGATTCTTAACTTTACCGAAGACTTCATATAGGATGAATGAAAAATCCTATACGAAATATTAATACGGTGTCATACAACCGAAGCTTTCCGCTCCGTTCTGAATGTCCACCTTTGGCTTGCGTCTGCCAAGAGACACGAGGGATCACGTGTACGCCTTTGTACAGCACAGAAGCAGAAGAAAGTGGAGAAGAACATGAAGATGAAGAACACGCAGGGTAGGAGAAGATGAAGGAGGAGGAGAAGGAGAGGAATGAGACAGAGAGGCCTGGGTAAGTTATCACTCGAGTCTGGACCAGGAATAGTCACACCATGTGGTGGCAGCCGTGGGACTGACTATTTTCGGGTAAAGACAAATTTGGCGCGGCGAGGCGCTACGCGAGGGAGCCGAGAAGCTGAGCCGAGCCGAGCCGCGTCGCGTCGCGTGGTAGCCGTCTCGAGTGTAAGCTTACATCTGCACACGACGACGACGAGGGGGGTGTCGGCTGCTCGTCACTCGAGAGGAGAGGCCAATGGGATCTGTGCAGCCATTTTTAGAGGGCTCGTTCCGAAGCGACCGTGCTTGAGGCTTTGGCAGCATTCAGTCCGAAGCGGTCATCCGGGTTGGCAGGATTTGAAAGCGTCGAGGAAGTCAGCTCGAGGAACTCTCTCGACGATCGCGGACGTCGGGTAATAATTTCCCAGTCGGAAGAAATCATCAGGTGCTGAGTCGAGAGGATCTTCCGGGTGCGAGAGAGTACAGGCGCGTTTCCGGTGCGCCAGATATTTCTCGTTGGAGAGTGTTTCAGGATCTTTTAGAGGATCCGCGATGAATTACGTAACAGCGGTGCATTCGCGAAGCGAAATTGTTGCGAGAGAAGTGTCGTATCGAGATGCCATTATTCGGAGCCGGCAGCAGACGGAGCCGAAGAAGAGAGGGTCCCACTTCGGGAGCAATTCCGGAATTCAGATGATCTACTTTGTAGTACCGGGCGACCGTTCCGTGCTTCCTTACTTCCCATAGTGAATGTGACGTATGGAATGTAAAGAAGTATGGAGCTGCGTCCTGGTGAGTCGTCGCGAGGCGGAAGTTTTTATCGGAGAATCGGGAGACATTTGGGAGTTATTATCGACAACGACGGAAACGGAGACTCGTGATAATCAAAAGAGCCAAGGATAACAATAAGGACTGGAAAGATACCGGCGGAAAAAGATAATAGTGCCGCGTGAAAGAGTCGGTAACAAACGGTGCAAAGATAAAACTCGCGGTCTTGCGTCTTCTGCGATGCAGATCTTGGGATCGGCGGCAGCCAGAAATAGATTGCTTTCGCGTAACCGACGCCGATATGGCCAGGCATCATTCCACGTACATATGGTCCTGCGCGCGGCCTCTATTTATGGCTTTTGGTGCCGCAACCATGTGGTCACCACTTTTATTATCCCCCTCACGAGCTCTTCGTCGTTCTCAGCGCGATGACAGGGAACTCGTCTCTCTTCGTATCTCCCTCGTATCGTTCGAGTCGAGATATAGCTATGGCAGCTCATCTTCTCGCAAAGTTATCTGTCACATTAACGATTAGACACTATTGTTAGCGATAATTCAGATTCTCGTTCGTTTCCACAGATTTTCAATCGCCTGTTTTTGAATCGATCTGATTGCAGCGGCGAGGGAGACGAGACACGGAAGAAAACGGGCGAGTGGGCGAGGAAGAGGACGCATGCGGCTGGACGCTGTTTTCGAGCCCGAAATAGGACCCACGCACAACCGCAGCCATGTTTCCAGAAATAAGTTCTCCGGTTACAGAATCTATTTCCGGTGCGCGGGCCGCCGACCGGTGGTGCCCGGTTGCACGGCGATCGGTGACGTATTCGGCTGCAGGTGCAATCTCGCGTACTGCATAGGAATATCTGATACGCGGCGGTATCTGGTTTTGGTGTTCGGGAAAAAGATTTCAGTGTCGGCCGTAACGATGATCAGCCGGAGTGACGTCAGTGACTGCGATGCGATCGATTATGGTTCACGTAACGAGCGTATTCTGATCATACTGTGCGAGCGTACCGTGTAACGCGATTAGGTGAATTGTGCAAGTTGTAATTTGCCTTGTAATTTTGGGACAAATTCGTCGGACATCCTCACCTTATCTTCCAGCCCAACGCAGATTATGTTGTCAAAAAATAAGAAACATCACACTTCAGAAAAATTATAAATAATTATTGTAACAAAAAACCGAAAAGTTTTATTCTAAGAGTAATTTCTATTATATTAAAGAGAGGCTGTTGTTAAATATTATTAGAAAAATTGTGAAATTAATTTAATTATTATATATTATAAATTCAATTAAATTTTTTTTAACTCTACCGTTTCATTTCTCTGATATATTTTTTTCAGAGAAGAAAATTGTTGCATACATGTATTTCTGTAATTTCCGATAATCTTCTTACGACATCGTTCGTTTATTGTTTTGTGTAACTTCGTGCAACGTTTGGCCTCACGAATTTTGGCGAACAATGCCGCGATTTGACTCGGGGTTCACTGGGTAGTACATTACGTTTGCATAGATGCGCACGAATTTATATCGACGGTAAAATAGATTTGCGCTTCTCGCGGCAGTAATGCTCTTGATTAAGCCGAATGAATTACGCTGATATTATTGCCGTGAAATAATAATATTACTCCCGGTATTATCGGCTAATGCCGCCATTTGCATTAACGTCGGCACCTGCTAATTGGCATCGCCCGTCGCGTTTTGTCTATTTGCCGTACGTGTTACACGGGCCGCCTGATTATGCTAATCACCGTCGAGTAATAACGCGTCTGTCGTTTAAACGTATCTACTTAATTCGCTAAAAGAGATTCGTAAGAAAAACTACCTTTCCATTCAGTCCCACCTCCCCCCTATCTACAAATTTCCTGACTAATTTAAATTTTCAGATTGGAAATCTGGGGGAGAGTTGCTTGTGAATTTTAAAGGATTAGAAAATTATAAAGTCACTTCTATAATTATTATGCGAGGAAAGATCAACATTTTACTTGAGATGCTGAACTCCCCGGTCGTGCCCCAGTCACCCGAAAGACGTTATCGAGTTATCGAGAATCGGGAAGTAACGGAGAGGATTTGGAGGACGGATTATGCGATGGTTTCGCGATAATCACGGATAGCGCTCGGATGCAACCTTGGCACGTTTTTGGCGGATCGATAACGCAGCGTGGCAGAGACGAATTGGTGGTCAAAAGTCCCGGGAGAAGGGACCCCCCGTGTTGGTTACGCAGCACCCGGTAGCGGCGGCTACGAGGGTCGAATGACAGAATCGCGCGGGGTATTGGCTGTTCGGTACGATCGTCACGTTCACCGCGACAATTTATGACGATTGGAATAGCGACCGTTACGCGTCCGCGCGATGCGGCCGGATTGCAGGAAGACTCCAGTGCGCGCGACACCTTATCAAACTGGTTCAATTAGCGGCTAGCCAGTGAGAAGGCGAAGGGATTCGTCCTCGTTCTCTTTGATTTTAATTTCGGAAATCTCTATTGCGACAGAGAAATGATATGAAAGATAAGTTACTGCATACCCTTTCGAAAATATCATATTCTCTCTTCTAATAATTATGTTAGCATTAAAAAGATCTTTGGTCATATATTATATTGTTGACATTTTTAAGTTTAACGTAAAATAACGAAACAAAGAAAACAACAAAGAAAACAACAAGACAAGAAAAAAATAGTTCAAATTTAGTAAGTCATTGTCTATTTGCAAGTCTCAAGTTTAATGTGCCAAATTTTTCACTAATTCGATTCTGAATCGATTTAGAAAAAAATAGCAATCGAAGGAGATGTCGATTGAAATATTTTATTCATCATGCAAAAAATAAACTTTAGGAATTTAATTGTGAAATATTATCTCGTGAATAACCGTAGGTTTCAGTATGTGGCTTCGTTAGGGTCACGTTTAGTCGAGTTTCCGAGAGAACATTACCTTATCCCCACGAGAATGTCCCGTAACAGGCGGTATTTAGGGAGACACAACGAGAAAGGACGCGGGTAGGTGGACGCCGTTGAGATTGTACTAATTAAGTCCCACGTCCCATTAATTGCCGGCGTTCCTGTCTTGTCAGTGACCGCCGTCCGTCGTTGTGGTTGCGAACACCGGTAGTTAACCAAATTTCGATATCGACATGTTTCATTCCGTGAACAAGTGAACATTCCCTTTCTCTCCCTGCTTCTCCTTTACTCGAATGGTCATTTACAAGATCCTTCAAGGATGTATACACAAGTACATGAGGTCTTATAAAGTCGTAATTTTTATCTCGATAAAATTATTAATCCTTTGAGAGAACCGGCGCTTTCTAACAAAGTAACTTATGAAAAGTTTTACTTTCTAAGGGCTTTTAAAGTCACTGAATTCGGTTCTGGTCTCAGAATTAAAAAATTCAATGTTATTTCTTAATAATTAACTTAATATATATAACTTAGTAAATGTGTTTTGTACCAATCCGTTACTAATAGTCAATTACTAATTGTTTGCGTAGCACTAATGAGTTTCAAATAAAACGAAACTTAACGTTTCTTCGCAATAAAAATTCTTTAAAATGGAGTTTTATGATAATCAGATTATTGTTTAAATTTGGTCCGCTATATTGTATCCACAATTTTGAATTGTTTAATTCTGAAGCTAGAATCGGATTTAGCGAGCCCAAGAATTTTCTAAAACCGAGTTTTACGCTAATAAGATTACCTTTTAAAAATTTGGTTAGCCTTATTGGATCTGCCATTTAAAATTTTTTATTTTTGACTCAGATTCCAATAAAGTATTATTAAATTATTCCATAGGCCAAATTTCATGAAAATCAAACGAGCAGTTTGTAAAATAAAAAGGAGTGACCGGCGTCACTGGTCTTCAAAGGGTTAAAAGAGAATCCTTTATAAAAATTTTTAGGGACTCTTGAGAGCATTTTAGCTAAATTTAAATCTTATTTTAACACAAATATTATTTTCACAACAAGCGTTTCCTATGCTATGTGATAAAAGCTTGATTAAAAATTATTATTAAATAACGGTAAATAAATATGTATATATGACAATATTTATGAAGTCAAGTTGCTCGCATTCTATCTCGTAATTTAGATAAATTTAATTCTCCAAAAGTTGATTCTTTTCTATCATCGCAGGCTGATCTAATATCGGATCGATATGTATGTAAATACATTATTATAAAATAACGATAAATAAATATGTGTGACAATATTTATGAAGTCGCGTTGCTCGCATTCTATCTCTAATCTAGATAAATTTAATTTTCCAAAAGTTGGTTCTCTTCTTTTTTTAAGATGAACAATTACGTGAACGTCAGCGTTTCGTGAAACATCGCAGGCTGACCTAATGTCGGATAGCCTTTGCGAATTTCGGGGTTGTCCCAAGCCAGACGGAACTTCTGTACGAGAAGGATCGACCGCGCCGTGCGTTCGTTTATCAAAGTCAACGGATGGACGATCTGCAGATTGAGTCACGGAACGCGTTTTCTCGTCGAGACTATCTCGTGCGCGCGCGTCCGAAAAAAAAACCGGCCTATCGTGACATCGCATTGCCGAGTGTGACGGTAAAACCCTCCCCGAGATGCACGTCGCGCGCGCGGGATGCATCTCGTAGTTTCCGTCTCTCTCTTTCCCTCCTTTCTTTTTTGCGTTCGTCCGTCCAATTTTCGTCGTTTTCAATAGGGGCTCTCGATGCTCGCTCGATAAATCCATCTAGACGAGAGAATATATCCACGCGCTTGCCAGTTCCTGCACGTAAGCGAAACGTCAGCTTTCCTAGTTTCTTGGAGCCGAGCCGCCGCCTAACTCTCGAAGCTCACCTCCCCGGTCCTCTCTCTAGCTATCCCTTGATTCTTCGATATATCTTGCCATCTCGAGACACGACCGGAAAGACACTCTGATTACTCGTTGAAGGAGCCAGTCCATCATACTTCGGAATATATACTGAATTAGAATAGATTAGTTTCCAAAATTACCGAAAGAATATCCTCTTTAATTATTTATACTATAATTGAGATTTAAGAATTTTAAATGTAAAATCTTTTATATTACTGCGTAGAATAAAAATTCCATTATAACACTTCCCGTCATTAACTATATCGATTTTACACGATTACACCGCGGTTTCAAATGAGAGAGGCGGCGATGTCACAATTAAATCGTTCGATAGGGCGTTCGATGGCAAAGACTGCAAGCGGCTCACGAAGCGGCGCTTCGACACCGATTGAAACTCGGCCCTCCGGGTCGGAGGCGTTGAGTGCACTTCTCGGGGCATGACGCGAATAGCCGAGCGGCTCGAACGCGCGTTTGAACTTTTAAAGTAAGCGCGGCCCTTCCTGCGGGCGGCGGCGGTCGCCGACGTTTTCGGCAGGACGATCACGCACGGCCACCCGTCCAACTTTGGCCGGCTAATCAGAAAAATCCACACTCCGCCGAGCTTATTGAATTGTCTTGGCTCGGGCCCGGGTTCCAACCCCGCTGCTGTCTTTCCTCTCGCAGGAGAAAAAAGAAAAAGACGGACCCTGTCTGTCTCTCGTAATCGCCCTGACCAGAATTCCTTTCGCGCGTCTCCCTGTTTTTATCTGTACTATCTCATCACATCTTTCATTATTTTATCTTGTAAACTTTTTTTAAGATTGATCGATACAGCACATCGATTTGCTCAAAAATAAACTTCTACAAAAATAAACTCCTCGATATTCTGCATACATCGTATAAAATATTTATTTTACTTTCAATTACCCATCTCTATTACTCTTCGCGGGGGCGAAGATTAACGGCTATGCATTACTGTTATTGCATCCTCTCTCAAGGTACGTTATTAAATTTTTTGATTGCGTATTTTCTCGTGTTCTTACATGGCTTATTCTAGGACAGCGCAATAAACACTTTCTACAGTTACTATTACTATTTTCTTCCCGCAATTTTTACCCGCGGTAATATCTCAGAGCGAGTGCCCCGAACGGCTCTCGATGAATTATAACGGTGCTTAAGGATCAATGACGGTGGCCCGTATGAATCTTATATTTCCACCCTCGTTCGCAGTCTCTTCGGCCGCGACCCATATTTTATCATGCTCGGCCTTTGTAATCGATGCATCCGATAACAAATAGCGGCGCGACTCGTCCTCCCTTTTATTCATCCTTTTCACGCGGACGAAAGTAAGTGACGCGGGTGAGTTTGTCGCGTGGTGCATTTTTTACAG